CCTGGCCCAATTTTTCGGGGCCATGTCTAGATTCAAATTATGGGCCCAGGTTAGGCTTGAGCCCATATTGCACAGTTTTGAGCCAGCTTGGCCAGGGCAGGCCAGGCCCGAGGCATTACCGGCCCTAGTCATGGTTTTATATAAACAAATTTGAGTATGAGAAAGAATCATGCCCTCGTGAATAGGGCTGGGCCATGCTTCAACAAGGCCGCCCTAGCCCAATCCTTGCCCAAAAATGTGCCACATACCGAATTTTTTTGGTGCGGCTCGGTCTGTGCCCGACCCCAATCCATGATAATGAGGCCTTAGCTGAGCCCAGCCCAAAATCAATTCAGGCCGGGTTGGTGCTAGCCCAGGATTGGCCCAAATTTGTGGGCCTACGATGCCTAGCCCATGGGTCCTAACATACAGGCCAAACCCAGCCCGAAACTAAGTCTTGCCCAAAAGCCTATGGGCTGGACCAGTCCCATTGACAGCGCTGCTCGTGAGAGAGAGAGGGGCACAAAGTCCATACGGCTATGCATGCGTTTTATTGTATGATCGAAATCCGATGGCAAAGCGCATGGGATTTTTGTAGCTTTTGTTAAGCTTTTGCTATTAAAACTTTTGGATTATTTGGAGTCATCAAATGGTGCTGTGGTGTAGTCGGTTATCACGTCAGTCTTACACACTGAAGGTCCCCAGTTCGAGCCTGGGCAGCACCAATCCCTCTTGTTTTTTGGGCCCCCTTCTCTCTTCTTTCAACTAGCAAAAGATTTTATGCTCCTGAGGGTGCATATTCAATATTTAGTACTTTATTTTATTTCTTATAATTAAAACTAATAATTAAGGGCCATGATTTCATGCAACGGTTGTTTCATAGTACGATGCAAAATCCAAAATCCATGTCTGTGTTATTTGTATGATCCAAAATTTTATACACACACTCTCTTCATCTTAATAATCAATTCAAGAAAAATAAAAATTCAATTTGAACCCTTAGAAAAAATACAATTTGAACCCCGAGAAAAAATTCAATTTGAACCCTTAGATATGTCAAAATGAATTCACCTCCAACAATGAATCTAGACCATTCATTTGGTGAATTTCAAGATCTTATCATTTGCAAACTCAAAATCATTTTTTTTTTTTTAACATCGTTCATCTAATGATAATGCATCTAAAAAATTTGGAAAAGAAAAAATACCTCTAAAGGCTATATCTAAGTATCTTATCAAAATGGACGGCCTAAGTTAATTGAGCTAAAAGAATACTTTGTAGATTAGGTTTTCAAATTTTTCTTTTTTTGTGGTTGTTCATTAGAATGAAATTAGTGTATATTTTAAATTTTGGATCAAACAAATAGCCTTAACATTATTTTTTAAGATGGTTGTATTATATTACTATACAACCGTTGCATGAAATCATCGCTCAATAATTAATATGTTCTTGCTATAGCATATTAAATATTCTTTTCTTGAGTAAAACCTTATTTAAGAATATTTTTAGGACCTAAAATTTTAGGGCTTGTGGATCTAACCTCTCAGCATAGCGACATACATTCAAAAAAATAAATAAAGGAAATTTTGTACATCAATACACGCGCCTAAAAGAATAATTACTTAAGCTTGAACATATTGTCTTTTATTATAATTATAATTATTTTATTATTTTATGGTTAAATCTAAATGTTTAGAAAAATAAAATTCATTTTCTTGTAAATAAATTTAAAATAAAGTTCAAAATTAAAAATCCAAAAAAATAATAATCCTGCAATACTCTTTTGTATCATAGAGTTGAAAAGAGCACCTTGTGCACAATGCAAGCACTCGTGGCAAGTATAAGAGCATAAGTGGCATTCAAAAGTTTATATCTTTGCTTTTTTATCCTTATGCTTGGAAAGCTCATCATCATTAGCAGAGTATTTTTTTAACTATTTGGGGTCGGTCATACGAATTTTGATCCACCATTGTGCTTTATTAAGAGCCAGTGAGGCCATAAGTCGTCATATTTTTTCTCACCACTTCCAATCATGTCCTTTTGAGTCTATCCATTGCCTTTTTTGAGCCTTCTACATGAACCAACTCATACCAACTAACATATATTGTATTGGTTCTCCTTGACCACCCAACATTTTGCCCCATAAAACAAAACTAGTCTCACCGCTGTCCTATAGAACTTCAGCTTCAGCTTCATTGGTATGTGGCAATCACATAAAACCTCGATTGTACATCTTGACCTCGCCCATCCAACTCTAATTCTATGTACGACATCTTCTTTAATCTATTATTTTTCTTAGATTATCGACCCAAAATATTGAAAGTGCGCTCTTTTTAGTAATTTTTTGTCGCCAATCTTAACTACTTCCTCGTCTCTACTCATTTTACAACTAAACTTGTATTCCATATACTCTGTCTTAATTTGACTAATTTTAAAAATGTTAGATTCTAAAGTATCCCTTTAAAGTTCTAACTTTATGGTGATGCCGCTTTAGGTCTCATCGATCAAAACTATGTCATCTGCAGACAACGGTACCTCATCTTGTAGGTGCCTAGTTAAGTCGTCTATAACTAAGACAAATAGGTACGAGCTCAACGCTGATCCCCTTATGTGGACATATTGTCACTGAAAATTCACTTGTGTATTCACTAATTGTTCGTTCACTAATTAGCATTGCCTCGAACATATTTCTCATCAAGTCAATATAATATCTTGAGACTCATTTATTTTCCAACAACTACCAAATTAAATCTCAAGGTATCATAGGAAAACTAAAAAGTAATTAATTTTTTAAGGGATGTAAATATCTCCTATATTTTCAAAGTTTTAAAAAATGTTCCCAATATTTTGTATTTTACATTAGTGTCCGATTTTTTAAAAGTCCATCTAGTATTTCAATTTATCTTATTTTATCTATATCAAATTGAGTTCAAATTTTGGATATTCATATTTCACACCATCACATATATATAAAATACAAAAAAATAAAAATAAAACTATCAAAATATATGCACAAATTTTAGGTGTACTTTTGTCATTATGCACATTTTATTTCATATGAAATTATTTTTTATAATTTTATATCTTTTGTATGTTTACTGTAGTGCGAAGTATAGACAACCAAAATTGAAAAATTTAATTTATAGAAAAAACAAAACTAAAAATACCATCCTCGCCTATTATGGGACAAAATAGCGGAGTATGCAAAGCACAAGAGAAGCCTCAAGACAGAGACCAAAAGTGGCAATTTTTTTTTTTGAGAGAAAGACAATATAAAATATATTGCAAGAGAAAGGATGTGTTGGTGAAAAGAGAGTTTCAAAACGGGAAATTTAATACGGTTTCTATAGGTTGCAACCTTAAACAATCCAACTAAAGAGTACCTCCAAATTTTATTATAACATGTAATTTTGGTGTAAATTTTTTTTTGGATTAATTGAAAATATTTTTGCATGTCTAATTATTAAATTTTAAATTTAAAAAATAGTTAAAATCAAGTAGAACTATAAATATACGAAAACCTTGAAAATAGACGGTCTAAAAAATGTGTTGCAAGATGCAGCGGTCTTGGGACTCAAAATCTTTTTTTGTTTTTTGTTTTTTCATATTCATATATCTCAATGACGAGATGATCAATTAGAGGGTTATTCAACATTAAAAACAACATTTTCTAATGGAATTTTTAGTTGATATTTGATTCTACGTTTTACTCGTTGCAACTTTGTATAAACTTTTTCATTTATAAAATATGTAGTGGCAGTGGTTGTCACTGTGAATAGCGTTGTACGTTCTCTATGTTCTTGAAAAGATAATACCTCAAAATTGAATGGAGATTGTCCAATTCTTGGAGATAAGATGTAAGTTAGAAAACTGCAAACTCAAATTTTTATTTTAAAATAATCATGGACAAAGTGGTTCCCAAAAGTCAAAATTGAAAATCGATGACTACCTTATACTATACAAGTAAGGCACACCTCCAAAATTTGTCGGGGAAAAGGTAGTGTTAGAAATCTCATGATGGCTTAAAAATCAATGATCAACTCTATTCATGAAACTTAAAATTTTAAAACAGGTGAGCACTTGAAATTTTCGAAAATAGACTGTTCAAATAACTTATTATAAGATGCATTATTTTAGGATTTGAAGTTCTTTTTTTTCTTTATGTCCATATAACTCGAAGTGGAGATGATTAATTGGAAGGTATCTCTTAATAACAAACTTTTCTTTTAGATTTTTGAGGTCCACCTTACTTCTATTGTACAAGGATGCAATCTTGAATAAACTATTGGGACAATTACTAAAAAAAAAAAAAAGAAAAAAAAAAAAGAAAAAAGATTATACTTTCTATACAACTTACCTCCATTTTCTTGTACACAAAAATCAATTTGGCCATATTTGATGTTGACTTTCGGACCCAGCACCACATTGCCGGAGCGCACCATCGCATTGCTGGAGCACTGTACACATTGTCGGAGCACACCATCGTATTGCCGGAGCATTGTGCACATTGCCGGAGCGCACCATCGCATGTAATTCAAGAGTGTTCCACTATTGGACCGCACTTACACAATGCTGGATATTTGTGACTCTAGAGTGTTTCACTGCTGGATCCCTGTGACTCCAGAGTGTTTCACTGCTGGATTGCACTTACACAGTGCCGAAGCGCTTGATCCACTACCGGATCGCACTTACAACCGGAGCCTCTATTTTGGTGAGATAGAGGAGAGAGGTGTGGGTAAGTTAAAAGTATGGGAGGTTAGTTTAGGTAATTTTTTATTTATTTTTGATTGGGGGTATTTTATATAGAAAGTTTATTTTGAGGAAAAAAGTGAGAAAAAAAAACAAGTTAAAGTTGAGGTAAGTTGCATATATCTTCTTAGGGTTTTTGATAATTTTCCCTTAACTCCTTCCTTCAAAAACTTTCCAATGAAAAAATTACCACCGTAGATGTACAATATGATCCCGCCGAGCTTGATTTCCACGCTATTCAAATGAAGTGTGAGGAAAGGGAGAAACACGCATGCAAGTATGGTACGAGAGAGAGGCAAGCTTTAGGGCTACTGCCGATACTTTTGCCGCCACAATTTTCCCCAGAGCTCTCTCTCTCTTCAAACAATGGCGGAAAATGGTGCTTCTGCAAACTGTGAAATGATGATGCATCCAGTTTTCATCAACACTAGTATCGATACCCACATAACCCTGCTCATCTCTTCTCAAGATACTGTGGAGGATCTCAAAAGTCAGCTCTCTCTCTCTCTCTCTAAAATATGAATTGTTCTCTGTAATTTACTTTGACATATCTGCTTGATTTGATACCTTTCGTGGGAGAAAAGACTTTCTTGTGATGAGCTTATATTTTGTATGGTTTCTGGTTATTCTTCTTGTGCTGTTAACTGGTTTAGTTTCTTTGGCGATTGATGGGAGCATGCAATGTCTGTGTTGATTTGGGTTCGGGTTTCAAAGTCGATTAGATTTTGGTTTTCTTAAGAGATGATGCTTGTGGGGCCCCCTCCCCTTTTTTTTTTGTTGCGGATTGTGTAAGGATTTGTTCATGGCGTATCTTTGATTTCATTGCAATGCATGGAAATTATCATTGTTTCTGTTCTTTGTTTGCAGGGAAATTAAGCAATGAACACCATCTTTGTTTCCCTGATATAGGAGAAATTACGATTCATGCATTAAAGGTATGATAGCTCTTTGCTTACAGTCATGGATTGTGATAAAATTGTCATTACAGTTTCCTATTATTGTATTCCTCTTTCTTAGTCCATCTTTTTATTTTCATTCTCAGCAAGAATTTTCTGTTTTTAGTTTTCTTTGTTGGTTCAGATCATCCATGTTCCTAACCAGCATCACCACCACCCGCCCCCGCCCCCGTCCCCGCCCCCGCCCCCGCCATCTCTCTCTCTCTCTGGCTTGTCTAGCCTTGCTCAATTGGTCACATTATTAGCAAGTATTTGTTGCTGATGCCGATGATAAAATTGAAATGTATCATTAGTCTCTCTCCCCTCCTCTTTTCTATCGTTTGTTTAAGCCTTGCTTAGTTGGTCATACCATTTGCTAGTAGTTTTGGTGATTCCTACGATATAATAGTGCACACTTCCCCCCCTACCCTCCTCTCTCTCTCTCTCTCTCTCTCTCTCTCTCTCTCTCTCTTTGCTTAAATTTATTTCTATAATTCTATTTTCTGTGTCAAATTGATAGACTGTTTCATTTGGTCACAGATGAAAATGGGTTCACACTTGTATCAATTACCAAATTCCATGATGGTTCAGCCATTCTTTCAGGGGAAGAAAGGAGCTTGGTTTCTCTACATAGATGCTTGTCCTGTGAACCCAGTGAAATCTGTAGTGAACTCCAAGGACCATCTCTTGAGACTAGAGAACGGTGAGGCTCAACAAAAATCCAGTTTGATCTGTTTTAGGGGTGATGCCACTGACTCTCTGGACCATGTTTCAAAAGGGACGGTTGCTCCTTCTAGTGAAAGAGATTACCTTAGATCTGATAAGGCTTTTACCCAGTCCAGTAACCATGCTGAGAACCCCACTTTGCTTGAAAATCCAGTTTTTGAGAATTTACCCCTAACCCAAGTGATCAGCAGTAATATAAAAGACATTCAAATTCATTCTGCCATTTTCACCAACAATGAAAGAGAAAATTCTATTGAGGCTGGTGACAATGTCATGGTTGATAAGGTAGAAAAGGAGCCAATGGAGAAGCGAAACACATTACCTCATGATCTCCAGAGTGAGGAACAAGGGTCCTTAGTTCAGAGCAAGAAAAGGCGCAAGGACTCATTGACTAAATCAGATGACATTTTGGAAAATACTCAAGTTCCCAACACTAATTCTAAGAAAAGGCGCAAAACTAAGAAAGAAATCGAAGATGGTGTCGGGAATGGGCATAAAGAAACTGAGGTGGGTAATGACAGGGTTAGCAAAGAGGCACCTGGTTTAGAGAGAAATGCCATTTTAGATGCTTTGAAAGGCAGTGATAACATGGAGATTACGCCACTAGAAGAATTGTCTGATAGAATGGTCAAAGTGAAGAAGAGGAAAGATAAAGAGTGTAATGATGAAGTTGGGGATGGAGCTAAGGAAACTGAAACAGTGACTGACAGATGTATTAATGGTGCAAACAGAACTGTCAAAGTTAAAAAAACGAGAAAGGAACCAGCCAATCATCAGGAAGCAAAGGCTAATGCTTTGCCTACTGTTTCTTCTCTAGGAAATGGTAACACTAAGCAAGAAGAGAAAATAAATCTGGAAATGAACTTATCTGAAAATTTAGAGAGAGAGAATGACTTTGATTATTCTGGAATGAAAAAAGTTAGTCTAGACATGATTTCTCAGGATACATTAGAAAGCAATTCCAAGAACAATTCATCAAGCGTTCTGGATGAGAATAACAGAGATCCACCAGAAAGTCCAAGAATGTCCACCCAAAAGGACAGTCATCATCAACTTGACATTGTTAGTCGTGCCACCTCAGACTCTTTTGCCAATTCGGGTGATATTGTTCTTAGCCAGGTAAATAGAGGGAAAACTTCAAAGATACCTGTTAAGGTTAAAGAAAAGAAGCTTAGGAAGCCAAAGGACAATCATGTTGATCATGCAGATGAAGATCTCGGTGTTCATCGGGATCATGGGCCAATGAAAGACAACGAGATTTCATCAGGTGTCAATAAAATAGAAAACAAGGCTCCAAATTTCTCAAACAAGAAGCTGAGATCAAAGAAGAAAGAGTTAACAAAGCCTGCTGTGTCTGCTCTAGGAAATGATGGAATTGATCGAGGAGAGAAAGAAAATAGTGTAATGAACATTTCCAAAAATTTGGAGAGAGAGAATGACATTGATGTGTCTCAGGATACACTACGAAACAATTCCCAGATCAATCAGGGGGATCTTCCAAAGAGTTCTACAAAGTCCTCTCAGAAAGATGGTCATCATCATGAAATTGTCATTGGTGCTGCCTTAGATTATTTTGCAAATAATTCAGGTGATATGATCTTTGGCGAAGTAGAAAATAAAGCCGATGCTTTAGGGCAACCCAATGAGAAAAAAAATAAAAAGCCAAAACAACAAAAGGATAGAGGGGATGCATTAAGGCAACCCATTGAGCTAAAAAATAAAAAGGCAAAACAAGGCGAGGATATCCATAAATTAGATAATGAAGCTCCAAAATCATCAAAGAAGCAGCCAAGGAAATCTAGGAAGGAAGCAGCTACAAATGATACAAATGATTTGGAATCCTTGCAGCTAACCCAAGATTCTGTGAATTTAGAGGCTGTGGTTACTGGAAGTAAAAGTGTAAGGAAACCAAAGAACACTCAAGATATTAGGCCTCCAAAAAATGATAGTTGCTTCGATGTTGGTGAAACTATCCATACCGATCAGAGGGATGAAACTGAAAAAGATATGTTTGCATTGTCGGAGACTGAAAAGCTCAAGAAAGTGACTTCACATGAAATTTCAAAGAACCGATTGATGGGGTCTAAGGAAGAAGCAAAAAAGATGGTAGAGAAAGAGATTCCACAATTATCTGAAACTTTAGAAGCCAAGCAGATTAACTCAAGGATGCTCGAGTCTAGTGTGAAAAAGGGATCACCCAACACTAAAGTTATTGATGATAAATACCAAAATGCTAATTCTTTAGATTGTGACCGCCCTGGAACTGGAAGTATGCATGTGTTAGATAAAGTGAATTTCTTTGGTCGCACTGCACCTGAAGGAGGTAGAGATAAAGTTGTTGGTAATGCAAAAAAGGATACTAGAAAAGAACACTTGAGTATTTCTCGGGATGCAGCGGTTGATTCTAGTGCAAGCACGAGATCCTTGCCTGACGATCTTGACAGAAACAAAGGGAGGAAAAAGCTTATCTCCGAAGGAAACCACCGTTATGAGGTAAAGGGAAATGAAATGAAAAGTTCAAAGCTAGTTTCAAGCGAGCTAAAGTCTAAGATGGGTTCTTCAGCCAAATCAATTTCACTTTTTAGGAATGATGAAGATGATGATGATGATGATGAGAGCTCTGAAGAGGAAAGTGAGTCGGGGACATCTGAATCTTCAGATAATTCTTCTGCATCAGTTGATTCAGATGACCAAGCCCACAAATCCTTGCATACATCAAGATATGGTATTTCTCATTCTTAAGATTTATTTTGATTGTTTTCGTTTGTAGAATTCAACTTTACTTTTATGATTACTAGATGTCTTTCT